AATTGCCTGTTAGAAAATAAGATGGTATCTACATTAATCTGGAGACGTGTCAGATTACTGTAGTTTGTTCAGTCAAACATTTTAAGGCTTACTATTTAGCTATCTTACCATGACCGATGTAACATCGCATGTACATCATAAATTCCCAGTGTCTTTCCTGCTGTACATCGCAACCAAAAAAACTTGTCAAATTAACCAAATCATTACTGTAAACAGCTCCATGAATGCTCTTATCTCCGTCACTTTACAAAAAAAAATAACTCTTGCACACCTTGCGTGCCTATGTTTCTTTTTGGATTCCAATAGCCCTTGGAAAGATCTACTTTTTCCGCGTGTTCCTAACCTGGCGCAAAAACCTTTGTATTTACTAGGCACCGTCCTTAAGTGAGTTCTTTCATGGTCCTTCATTCATTACTTGAAACTGTACTGTACTCTGAGTTTCTGATCTTGTCATCATATAGGAAACATTCGCAGTGCCTGTACCACACTACGCTCAATTAAAGACCTGGCATACAAACCAGGCGTGGTAAGTTATTATATAAAGTAAGGTTTGCAATTATGACACAACTTACTATAAACAGTTGCTAGCAAATGTTCAGAAAAAAATGAGAGTTTTCAAATATCAGTTAAATCTTTAACGATAGTGAATACGTGCGGGATACGTGATGCGTCAATGTTTTTCATGACTTTTTTTTGTTAGGTTTCATGTTTTTTATTTCTACATATTTAGGTATCCTATCTTGGATGGGGTCCCAGGACTCTTTCATAGACCTCTTAATGGCTTATGTTATAGATTCTTTTTCTCACCTTTTTTCACATATATAGACGTACTTTTTACATATTTTGCCATTAAATTGTAATAAATAAATACAATAAGTACCACTGCAAGTGGTGTGAAGCCATTTGAATCACTACCTTCTGTTGTCAACTTAGATGTGTGTTAGTTGTTAGCTTAAATGTACTAGATCATTTGGCAATGGTGTTGGTCAGGGCGAACAGCACAACAGAGTTATTATACTCAGTAGTATTTGAATCAATTGACACTTTCATATTTTTTACACAAAACTAAACTTAGGAACTGCTTTTTTCGGATTCAGGTTCGATTCTGGGAGGGAAAGAGTGATCTGCGTATTTTTAAGTGGCAAGAGCCTGTTCTCCATTCTCTCCACTGACCATCAACAAACCATCCAAACTTCATCTGAGCATATCGTTTGTGTTATCTCATGATCAGGTGTCTGCTCTGGTGACGTTATACTCCCATCTTGGTGACGTCAATACTGCTGTTGAAGTGCTTGATGACGCTGTGGAACATGCGCAGAAGAACAAGGTCAGTAGGTTTGACTCGTACACCCTCCCGTTGGAAATTGTCCTAATTTGAAGCCCCATTTCTGTTGCAGGAACTCATGCGACAGTCTGAAGTACTTTCATTGATGAGAGAAAATGTGGCGTATAAATTGCAACACGGCAAAGCCAAAGAGGCGGTGGATATGCTGGAGAAACTACACAAGTACGTGAAATTCCTTGTCTTTTACACTGAGGAGGGATGTAGTGCTTGTGCATCGTATGAATTATCCCTATTTACTCAGCGCTGTCGTGCGCATTGTCAGTTCTTTTATTTGGAGTTACTAAGTCTAACAATGCTGTGGAGACGTGGTGGCCTCACGGTTAGTGCGCTCGCTTCCGGATCGAGCGGTCGGTGTTCGAGCCCTGACTGGGGACATTATGTTGTGTTCTTGGGCAAGACACTTTACTCTCACAGTGCCTCTGTCCACCCAGGTGTATAAATGGAACTTAATGCTGGGGGTAACCCTGCGATGGACTAGCATCCTATCCAGGGGAAGTAGAAATACTCCTGGTCGCTTCATGCTACAGAAACCAGGATAAGCTCCAGCCTGATGGGCTACTTGGCTCGTATGCAGACTACCTACAAATAATGCTTGTCTTCTATTTGCTTTTTTTTCTCAGGGAAGATCCACGAGATGTGAAAACATTAGCTCAACTTATCAAGGCGTATTCTCGTTTAAATCTAAAGAAAGCAGAGCAGTATCCTTTTCTTATATTATTACGTTAAAGTAACCTCAACCCGTCACCCTTTTTTCGGCGGGAAATAGACCACGGCCACGCTTTTTGCAAGTGTAGCCGTTAAGCGACCATGCTGGCGTGATAACTATCACAGTGCTCACGTCTACTAACGCTTTATAGTGATTGGACAGTAAGGATCGAAAACCTCTGAATGCACCTTTGAGGCAATTCATTTTCCCCATTGCTCACACTTGAAATTAAACGATTTTTAATCCGAAATTAACCACAAACTCTCAAAAGGTTATTGCTTTGCTTTGCCTTAACTGTAGTTATCACACAGCTACAGCGAAAAACTTGCACCGCTAGACACGACTTCCCAGAGTACACCTGTAGCCGTGGATGAATTGGAGATGTCCCTCAGTACCATGGGATCGCGATATGGTCGAGCAAAAGTTAAGCAAGAGGGTGGCGATACAGAAATGGAAGATTTGACGTTAGTAGTAACGATTATTAGCAGAATAAAAAAACACTAAATTAATATCAGTCTCTAAAATTTTTCATTCTTGTGGCATGGACCAGAGGTGACAGCCAGAGAGCCAAACTTAAAGTTACGTACGGTATCTGACCAATCACAATAGACACTAACGATGCAATGAACCAATCAAAACTCGAGTCCGAATAAAACTGCAACCGGCGCCAAGCGCGGGAAATCGCGCATAAGCAGCGCTTTCCCTGGTGTCCGCTTCACCCATGATTGGTTGAAAAAACAGCAAGTTTGCAGTGATTGGTCGGACCATGTTGAAGAAGTTTATGAACCATTTTTCTATGTAGCTTAGACTTAAGTAATCACAATTATCATTTTGAAAGTTAAGTGAAAAGTTTTTTCCATCCTCGTTTCCATGGTCTCTGTTCTTCAGGAATGAGGTTGAGTTTAATTTCATGTAATATGCACGTTTTAACTTTGTGGTTGCTTGCGACTGACAGGAAAGACCTCGTTGTGAAAAGAAGAAAAAGAAAACGAAAAAGAGGTACGTGTAAATACCGATGTTTAGACTAATAGTGAACGAAAGACTTAGTGAACAAGTACCGAATTACTTCATTGTGATTGGCCGAGAGCAGACCAATTTATCCTTAATTTTTAATTTGCACTGCAGTGTAGATAAACACGCGTGCAAGCGTTGGTAATATCTAAGTCATCTAGGTAATCGTATGAATGCAACTGGTAATGATTTACACTACAAGTGATATTGAAAGAGTCTCCTCGTAGTGTAAATCATTAATAACAATTGCATTTATACGATTACCTATACAGGCGAAATCCCGTCTCCGAGAATTGGCCGAGTACAAGAGTTTTCTCGCTGAAGTCGCTAGTTAACAGGAGGTAGCCCTATTACATCATGCTGACATGCTTAGTATTTTTAGAGTTTACGTCCTTTATTGGAAAGCAAAAAGCCGGCGCCCCAATGAACTTTATTCAACCTGTTCAACCTGTTCAACCTGTTCAACCTGTTCAACCTGTTCAACCTGTTCAACCTGTTCGCTCCTCGAGGACTGTAGCGCGTCTACTGCTGCTCTGTGCTTTGACGACGATTTGCCAAATATGGCACTTGTTTCCCAAATGAACTGGAAAATATTTGTTTTGCAGTCATCGTGTGTGTGATTTTAATTTGTTATCTCATTAACTATGCTCATAATGTGACTTTGTTTGATTTATTCAGGTAAACTGCCGAAGAACTACAATAGCGAAGTCGATCCAGACCCCGAGCGGTGGATACCGAAAAGAGAGCGAACTTACTATAAAGGCAAGAGACAGAAGAAGGGTGCTGCAGTAGGTGGGTATCAATACTGCCGTAGGGCCGGTTTAGTGCTAACATGGGCCACGTACAACAAGCCCTTGTAGTACCTTGAAGTAAAGGACCTTGTAGTAAAGATCTCTCATCACTCACTCGACTCTCTTTTAAGATCTCTCGCATTCCCGTTGTAGGTTATTAATATGGTAAAAGTATATAACAAAACAGCAACGTACTCGCTGACTCACTCACAGTCTCAGTCAGAAAATGTCCGCTTGTGGCCAGGGTTTTGAATATTTCGAATGTATTAGATCTTATTAACAATTTGTGTTTATTTCATTACAGGTAAAGGAACACAAGGTGCTGCTGCCCCAACAGAGGCGTAAGTGTAATAGCACTCGCCTAAACAATCCTTAGTCGAGCAATAAGCAAAATGTTCGCGCGAACTTTTTATTTAACCACAGAATAAGGGATATGTTATTATGCTATTATCCAATTTTCTAGTATTTCGGCTTCTAGTTTTTGAAATACATCCTGCATCATCCGAAAATCGTACCGATTGCATAAGCCACGTGCGAATGACGAAAACAAATATGAATCTACAGTGCAGTACTGGCTTATTTTGAGCGTTCTCTTGACTTAATATGGTAAAATGGCATAACAGTGGAACATCCGATACTATCAGCACTCGTTGAAATACGTGCTAGGGTCGGGGTTTGGGATAAATTGATAGCTGAAAACTGGTCAAAATTTAATGACGCTTTTTAAAACCGATAGCAATGTTTATATATGGATATCTGCAATACTGACTTATTGCTGGAACATAAGTTGAAATGTTAACTGATTGCTTCGAAATCATCGGAAATGTGAAAGGTTCTTAGTTCTTGACGACACGAAGCTTGACGAGTAAGCTTATTTTAAACAGGGCAAGAGAGAAAAATACAAAGCTAACAATACCTCTCTTTATTATATTTAGAAACTTCATGTAAACTTGTAGACTAAATGAGTTAGTTTTAGTATTCAGTTGAACAACCTGCGGCATTTCTAACAAATGTCTTATTTTCTATTTTGCGTTCCGTAGGTCGTCCAGCCCTAAAACACCCGGCAGTCCCAAGCCCGCATCCCCGCCGGGTACACCCTCAGCAGGGGGAAGTTCCGCCAGTGTGGTACCACCCCGGCAACAACAGCCACAGGCCGCCAAAAAGAAACAGCGACCCAAGAAGAAGAAAGGAGGCTGGTGAAGAGATCAGTGTTTGCAATCCTTGTAACAGACTGATTAGTCTTGCAATAAACAATCGGAATTTCAGCAGATCTTTTTGTTTAGCTTTTAACTTGAGACCCATAATTAATAATAAGTCCATCACTTGTTTTTCATTCTAAGCAACGACAGCATTCCAGACGAACTGATAAAGATAACTTCCGAAAGTGCGCCATGAGGACAACGCAAAGTAGATGTTTAAATTCAGACAAAACATTCTTGTAAAATGATAAGTATTGAAACAACTCAAACGGTGTCATTGTGTGAACCCAATTACCTAGCTTGACAGAGTTGATTCTCGGCTGATAGAAAATACAGCCAATCAGAATACAGAAAGGCCATACAGAAATACTGGACGGTATTACACCCAACCCTCCCAGCGTGCACTGCGCGTATGTCGCATTGATTGTGTTGGCCACTGTATTTTCTATTTAAAGAATAGAGAGTTTCTGTCGTGGAACTATGAACTTTTTTAGATGAAAGCCGTGAAAGCCAAACGTAAAATTTGAAAAAGAAAACAGACAAAAACCCTCTTAATGTAAATTCAATTTGTTTATTTTCTATAAGCCCGCTTGTTTACAGAAATATTTTCACGGACGAGTACTATCAATCCGAGTATTTCCCTCGGACTGGCACTATGGGCTGATAGTGTCTCTCCGCAGATGAACACTATCGCGTCACGTGATCAGTTTAAACCATTAAGAATCGGAGAAAATTTAGTGGTGAACTATAAGGCATGGTATAAAATAGTTGTGCAGCGCTTTCGAGTGGTGTGCCATGGATTATATTCCACTTGTCACTTGTATTTTCTTGATATAGACACTCGCCGATACCAAGAAATTGCAAGTGACTCGTGGGATATATTCCATGGTATGCCACACTTAAGTGTTTACTAAAATACGTCGACCTCTCGCCCTCTTTTTCAATAAGCGATGGTCAACCTGACTACGCCTTGTTGACTATTCGCTCATAGAAAACTCAAGCTCGCTGTCTGATTGTTGAATAAATGCTATTTAACTACTGGCTTGCTCGGTCCGTATCCTGAGGTAAATCCGAGCATTCTGATTGGTTCTTTCTTGGTCAGAATTTTGCGATACGGACCGTTTCCATGGAAACAGTCCTAAAGGCGTACTGGGGAATATTGGCCCTCGCTCGTTTTTGTACAGACCTCGCTGCGTTCCAACCGTTTTGCTACTACCTCGGGCCAATATTCCCCAGTACGGCTCTCGCGCTCGGTCGGTAAGAGGTTCATATTGGTCTCATTCTTTTATTTATTTCTTTATTTTCCTTTTTTTTCCAGCTACTCGTCAGAAAAGAACTCGGCCAATACTTCTCCAATACGGACCGAACAAGCTAGTTCAATAAATTACTTTTTATAATTGGAAATTTAAAACACGACTGAAAATGTTTAGCGAAACGTCCATGATCAAGGACTATAAAGACACCATGAGCTTCAATTGCAAGCGCGCAAGAGTTTGGGAAGTGGCTTTGACTTTTCAAACCAAACAAAACACACACACAAGGCTCACGAGTTTAGAACTCGGCCTAACAGTTTGACTGCTAGGTAAAACCACATGGGCAAGGAACAGCACAGTGCAACCTTGATCATATACGGCACTCCTCGACTGAAAGAACGACTATTGGACCAGCCTCGTCCCCAGGCGCGTTTTCCACCCTTCCCAAGGGAAAAGCACCGTGCGGAAGAGCCGTATCTGTCTTTAAAATATTGCCAAGATATTTATGTGACCTATTCTTGAATCAGTCATATTTATTTTCGTTCTTAGAGAGAACAAAAAGTCATGCCCGTTAGGAGAACGCATTTCCCAGCGGAAGTAAGTCTACCCTGCACCTCCAAGCGTTTCTTTCCTCGCGTGTCTTTGTCCGCGCGCGTGTTCTCGCTCCCTCCGCCCAGGCTTACATGAAATATTCATTTCGTCCTGTGAGAGAGCGGGTCAATGGCGAAAAACTGAAGAAATCGTGTGATATCGTTTTGAAGCAACTCTGGAGCAAAGGAAATAAGCTAATTCAACGAGGTTACCTCGAAAATTTTCAATATTGTCATAGTGGAGGTCTTTGGGCAGACAAGTTGTGTGTGGAGTTAACACTGGTTAACAACGTTAAGCTCTACTTTTGGCACTCAACGTTTCCGGATCTTCTTGCGAGGTAATATTTACCTGTAAGCTTATAGTGTTTTTCTTGTACTTTTCTTCGTAAATTACACAAAAGGGATTTCTGAGAAATATGTTTGCCTTTCTTTAGAGACCTTGATTACACTAAAACATAAGCTTAAGCAACGGTCGCCATGTTGGCCATGTTTAAGATTATGTGATGAGCAGACAGTACACTGACCCCCAGTCCATGGACTGCCCCAATGGAGTACCCAAATGTACTACCCTAAAGTGGACTACCCCTAAAAATAATTTTCCAAATGAGTAATATTTAAAGTTGTAAGCTACTGTTCCTTGCTTATTTTTGTTCTGGAACCACTGATCACAAAATGTTTATCCAGCCTCCCATTGTTCAGAATTTATACCTGTAGTAGTCAATTGATAACAATCAATATCGCAAATCTATTGATTCAATCGATATCAACCGCCAATTGCTATCTATTCTTATGTTTGTTTCCTAATGCAAAAACAGTAATCAATATTATAGCTGAAATTGTGATATTTTGGCAATAAGATTGGGTAACCTGAAAACACTGACCCCCGGTCCACAGACCCCCACTACGGACTGGGTCTGCGGACTACCCTATGGTCCAGTCCATGGACTACCCCTGCGGCGCCCCTCTACGGACCACCCCAAAAACAGAATAACAATAATAAATAATGATTTCACTTATGGGTTGTCTAATAGATTACTTGTGTCAGTGAAATGGCAAGCGTTATGCTGTGCAAATGTAACAAACTTAGGTTTTTGAAAACCCCCAAATGATATCTAAAAGCTGTTTTCGGCATAAGGAGATGGTGATGGCTAAAAGAAGGAAAGTTGTTACCTTACATTCGTGGCTCAATGTGGTTACGGAGATGTGTTTTTAGGTTGTTCGCTTGTTTTACAACATGTAACTCCGCTGAGCAAATTGCAAAGCCTGGAACTAATTCACAAACCCATGGGAGAATGGGCTGCACAAGCTGGCGGAGGGGAAGGAGCACAAATTTCGAGACTTCCTGGAGGCTTCCCAGTCTTTCATGTATAGCCACAGCAAAGGTAATGGCAATGTGTGTAATGATACAACTTGCTCCCGAGCTTGAACCCAAGTCTGTTACATTTGGACAATGTAACATTCCAAATTTCACCAACACGAGTAATCTGTTGGACAGCCCGTAAGTGAAATCTTCATTAATTTTATTATTTTTATTCTATTTTGGGGGTGGTCCGTAGAGGGGGTCGGTAGAAGTATTCCTTGGCCCTTCATAGGGTCGTCTATAGACCCGGTACATAGTGGTGATCCATGGACCGGGGGACCGTGTTTTCGGGTTACCCATAAAATTGACTTACCTCACTGCCTTGTTGTCTTTTCTGTTGTCATCTTGCTTCTCAGCTTGATCCAAAGCCTTTTAAGCGAGTTATGCATTTTTGGTTTTTCACTCCTAAGAAAAAGTCAGTCCATTTTGGACTGCCCAGCACTCCAAGCACAAAAAAAAATGCATTGAAAGCATGTCAGTCACCTCAATTCTTATGCAGAATAATAGGAGAGGGTTAAGTGCTCCTTTTAAATTCCAAGCTAAATTCATCTCCATAGTGTATGCTACAAAGCTCTGAATCGAAGCCAGCTAGCCATCTGGACTTGGACAAGATGCTGCCAGGACCTGCCATGGACACATTTGAAGGCCAAGTGGAATGCTGGGTGAACAAATTGACTGTTACCAGGGGAAGGGAGTAGATAGTTCTCAATGCAATTTGAGAAAAAAACTGGATTGAGAACTATCTGCTCCCTTCCTGTAGTAAGAGTCGATTTGTTCACCCGACATTCTGCTCGGTTTCGAATGTGTCCATGGCAGGAAACTGACATCCTGATTCGTACCCAGGTCCCCATTCAGTGTGAGAGAACTTCGTTTCCTGCCTCTTTCGCAAGCTCAGCTGGCAGGAAAGACATATCTCTTCGCCACCAAGCAAGTTATATCGACAAAGACAGAGCTGGACAATCAAAATGAGACAGACAGAGGGGTGGACAAGTAGATGGAGCCACAAACACACAAAGAGAAAACTCACACGCAATTCCCAAAACTACCAGTCATTGGTGAAACGCAGAAGATGAAAACGAATGAAGTTGAGACACCAATCAAAAATTAAGGTGTTTATTATATCTGTGTTTGTTTTAGTGCTCCATGTTTGCCTCTACTTTAGATTGACAGACAGCATAGACAAATAGCAGAATGGGAGTTGCCATAAATTAATACCATAACAGTAATAATTAAAAAGAAGGGACTTTTTAAAGCATTTAGCGACGAAAAATTGCAAAAAAACTTTTCTTAAAAACATTTAAGAAATTTTTAAAAATTACAGTTTGTTTCGACCTTCTCGGACGTCATTATCAGGTAAAAAAACAGACTGAGTATGAATATTCTATAGATACAAGAAAAACAATAGTTCATTAAAAAGAAAGGTAACATAAAAATATGCTGCAAGCTAAACAAAGAGTTTAGTACTGATGGAGTCACCCTGAATGTTAAAGCTAGGCCTCAGTTGTTTGATTCCTCAGTTCTTTGGTTGCTAAGTACTCAAGCTCCTTTTACAAACAAAACCTTTGAGCTAAGTCTAGTAAGACCTGAAGTTGTTTACAGTTTGTTTTGAAAGCGAAAAACGAACAAAGCTACTGGACTAGACAATATTCCAGCACGCTTGCTTAAGGACGGAGCGGCAGTTATTTTGGAATGCTTGACTCACATAATTAACCTTTCCTTTTCAACTGGAGTGGTGCCAGCCGACTGGAAGACTTCAAGAGTTGTGCCGTTATTCAAGTCCGTTAACAGGGAAGAAATGGATAATTATCGACCAATTTCTATTCTACCAGTGATTTCCAAAATCGCTGAGAAAGTCGACCTATCATCAATTGTTTGGTTATTTAAACGCTAACAATCTTTTGTCGCCCTGTCAATCTGGCTTCCGCAGGAATTTCTCCACTGAAACAGCTGTCACCTTTTTTGTGGATGAAATCTGTAGAAACATAGATAATGGTCTTCTCACTGGGGCGGTCTTCACTGACCTGAAGAAGGCATTCAATACGACAGACCACCATATCCTTCTAAACAAGCTTCAGAGTTATGACGTTTGTGACAAGACTATTCTTTGGTTTTCCAGTTACTTGCAAGGTCATTCCCAACGTAGAGGTCGACAAAGTTCTCTCTTCACCCCTGGATATAACTTCTGCCATCCTTCAAGGACCAATTTTGGGGCCCCTGCTCTTTATGTTATACATGTACATAAATGATTGCCCTCTTGTATTTGTCTCTCACAAGTTCTGCTGTATGCGGATGATACAGTGCTATTTTTTTGCCACTAAAACTGCTATTGAGCTAAAAGCAAGCCTTAACACTGACATCAACCGTATTTCTTCGTGGATGCAAGAAAATATTAAGCTTTTTCTGAATATAAGCAAAACTGAATATGTAATTTATGGCTTACACCAAAGACTAAAGAAGGAGGATAGTGTAATCTTATCTTGTAATGGATCTCGTTTGATGGAATCTGATTCTTTCAAATAATTATCTCAGAGTCGTTATTGATAAGCACTTGAGTTTTAACAACCATATTGAGCATGTAGTCAACAAGGTCTCGAGTATTAATTGGGTGTTTTTAGGCACTTGAGAGTGTCTATTCCCCTGGCTGCAGCTGAACGCCTCTACTAGACAATGATTTTATCCGTTTTTGACTGCTGTGATGTAGCTTGGCACAGGTGTGGAAAAGTTCACTCTGATGCCCTCGAGAGACTACAGCATAGAGCTGCGAAGTTAATTTTTCCAAATTCTGGTCTCAATACTAAAGAACTGAATGCTACTTTGGGTCTAGTGCTCCTGATTAATAAGCATAAACTTCACATTGTCTTGTTAACCGGAAAATGCCTTGATGGTTCAGTACCACCTCTTTTAATCTTTTAAATGATTATTTTCTGTATACACAGTTGCTACTTGACACTGTAATGACATTCGTATTCCAAAAGTCAACCTAGAGGTCGCCAAGAGATCACCCTTGAAGGTGAGAACAACCCTTAATGAGGAATGTGCCAAGTTATGCTCTATATCCTCCCAACTTGATTATCCAATTGGCCTCATAAATTCCACCATTAATATGTTTATTCAAAATATTGTAACTAAGCCAGAAAAGAAAACTGATGATGGCAACATGATCAGAATAGTTCTTCCCTCCAAAGATCAGATAGCCACTAATGCAGTCCATAGGCAATTACGTGATCTCAGCAATAAGATTGCTGTCACTTTACAGCCAATTTTTGTGAGCAAAAAATTGGAGCAAGATCTTAAGCCGAAAGAAGTTAAGCCGATTATAGTGAGTCAGTATTGTGTTGTTTATAAATTTGCATGTGATCTGCGTGATGTAGATTATGTTGGTTATACAGCCCACCACCTTCATCAACGCATTGCCGAACACAAGTATTAAGCTTAGTCTGATCAGTAAACACTTTTTAGGAGTGCATGGTGGCAAAAATCGTCTTAATGAGGACCAATTTCATGTTCTCAAGAAGTGCCACAGGAAATTTGACCTGCCTCTTACAAAATGCTATTCATCAAAGAACTGAGGCCTAGCCTTAACACTCAGAGTGACTCCATCAGTGCTTAACTCCTTGTTTTGCTTGTAGCATGTGTTTATGTTACATTATTTTTAATGAACCATTGTTTTTTTGTATTTATAAAATATTCATATCGTTTTTTTTTTAACTTGATAGTGAGAATGTAGAAATGTCCTGTATTTTTTAACTGTTTAAAAATTTCTTAAATGTTTTTAAGAAATGTTTTTGTGCAATTTTTTATAGCTTAACAGTAATAATAATGTAAAAATAAATTTTAAATAAAAGGGAACTGAAGTTTTATATCTTGTTTTTACAGAAAAAATACAGATCAGAGGAGTGGTTACTAAGTAAGCCATCAAGCAGAGCAGGGAAATCAAAAAAGCGATTGGTGAGTACCAAGATCAACTCTCTCAACAAAAAACATAGGAAGTTTATTTACATCAATGGCACAGTTATTTCTTGATAGTTTGTGACTATAAAAGCGACACTAATATATTATTACCCTCCATTTAGGGAGTGGATCCTTTCCCAGATAGCCACCGACACACCAAAGACAGCAAGTATGAACCCTCAAACACCAACAGTAAGTCACTGAGGGATTATAATTGTTATTATTTTAATTATTTGAAAGTTATCGAGAGAAAGAAAGGACGTATTTACATAACCATATTATTACTTTGTCATGCTTATTCAAAGTAGAAATTAGTTTAATACTGTTAGGAAGGGAAACATAGCAATCTTTCTCAGAGCCTGGAAGATCTTTATAATAACTCGTGCTAGTCTAGTCTGTTATAAACTTAGGTACAGTCAAACCTCGATTATCCGTACCTCGATTGTCCAGATTTCTCGATTATCCGGACTTTTTCTCTAGTCCCAATTTTGTCATGAATGTTTATTAGTCATGATCAAGATCTGTAGCAATATTCTTTTTTAAAACTATAGCATTGAAAAGTGCAGTCAAAAGTGAGTTTGTTTTACTTTTAAAGAGCAAAAGTAGCACTTGCACACGTCGTAACTAATGAAGAACACTAGAATGAGTTCTGATTAGCTCAGAGTTGAGTGGTTCAAGATATACAGTAGACCATATTGTTTTGCAGACGATTTGTAGAAGTGTCGTTTCACGATTGTTGCTTCATTTAAACAGTTTTGTTCTTCATTAATATTCATATTTTCGATTATCCGGACCCTTGATTATCCGGAGTATTTCGTCTAGTCCCAACAAGTCTGGATAATTGAGGTTCGACTGTACCCTGTTGCCAAATTTATGAAGAAGTTTTGTTTTGGTGCCTCCATCACAACGGGTTAGGAACTAAGGTATTATTATAGACTTGGAAAAATTTACATACTACTGGTACTCAAAATGTCTGATGTGTAGGAGGTAAAATACAATACGAGTATATACGAGTATGTGTTGCGGCTGAATGAGGGTCCTAATGGCGACATTCTTAGAAGTAATCAAAAGAAAGTTGAAGTTGTTAAAAAAATAAAACCACCAATAATTAAATTGAGTTTCCATACATACCTTGGTGATATTATTGTGGATTTACAAATAGCATGACAATAAATAGTTATCCTTCAGGTCAACACTCAGGATTTCCACTATCAGTGACCTCTTCTCGAATAATGATAAATAAAACTAGTGAGACAATCTCAGATAGTGCAGAGTGCAATTGATAGCTCTGGCACGGTAGTCACACAGGTATTCACCCCTGCTCGGTTCACTTTGGGTTTGTATTTACCTTGGTAATTTGCGAGGGCCTTTCCCCTTACAGAATATGAACAGACACAAACCTTGATAAGACATAATCTTAGCATTGTGTACGTTTCATGGTTGTATTTTCATTCAAGATTCAAAAAATACTTACATTTACTGTTTGTCATGACAACCATTAAATTTTACTCTGGTGTGTTACGTTGTTCGTTTTAAATTCAATAATATGTTGAAGCAGCAAACATGACAATTTAGCTTTTCATGCCAACTTTCTAACTTGATACTTTTGTTTTACTCACAAAGGTATTTAAAATGAAACCTTGTTTTTCTCTAAAACACACTGAAGATGTGCTTGTTTTTTCTTTCACTGCGGGACATATATGAAAGAAAGTTATTTATCTGATAAAGAAATGGAAAAGCAGCGATTTTGTTTTACTGAAAATGCAAATTTTCTTTTCACTGATAAACAAGTCAGAAGTAATTTAATTATCATATAGTCACAAAATACCACTTTATTTTTCTGTTGCCACTGTTGTTGTTAACAATAACACAATTCAAAATTAATACACAACGATATCGATTGATACAACTGAAAAGCATTTCAGCGAGAAATATATAAGGTAAACAGTGCTACTTGGCTGATATTACATCCTGCATCGGTGAATGAGCCTCCTCAAAGACTGATTAAATTAATTTGTGCTTTCGTCAGCTGCCAGGGAGTCTTGTTTCTTTTGTCACAAATTTACAATTTGAAGAGTTTTTTATAAAGCCACTAGCTTGAATGCCATCAAGGCAAGAAATAAAAAAGCCCTCTAAGGAGAAGTAATTTGTTTCCCTTCTTTATTTGAACCCTGACAAACATGCTATTGTAGTTTGACATCAACAGATTATATTGGTTGAACCGACCTATGTATGGCATTTCGTCGCAGACAAATATATAATAATAATAATGGTCCACAATTGAAGAAAAAATGTAGTTTAAAGTCTAAAAGTTGATCCTAGTTTCGAAAAAAATATGGCTGGCAGAAAAGTGCAGTCAACCGGAAAAATTAACATCGAAAAAAAAACAAGTCTAGAGGAAGCGGAAACTGTTTTGCACCTCAACCGGATGTAAGGGGCACGTCCTTTTATGGCATCACAGGAAGTGATGTGTAGGCTATGCCATACTTACCCATGCATGTTTTGTGCAGGAAAATGTCAGACAGCTTTGAGTGCTCTTATATCAGCCGGTTCACCCTAAATCAAAACTGCAATGAATTTTAGTATTAACCTGAAATTGTTTTAATTGATGATACCGTAACTGAGTAAGGGAACAGAATGATCTCACCTCCTTGCTTTTGGTCCTTACAAGTCAGAACAACATCAAGGCCATGCATCTTTATTGCACACTTTTAAGTACATCTAAAACTTGATATCTCTGACTTCCGCTTTTATGCGGAACAATCTCCCGCACTCCTTGCAAACAGAACACGCTGGACGTTTTCAGTAAATATGATTTCAAAGATCACTCCTGTCTTCCTGACTAGTGCCCTCCATAATTAAGCCTGGAAGTTGCAGATTTCAATCGCTTTCAGGTCTTCTTACTATAACTGCAATGCAAATCCTGGTCCAGCCTAAAAACTGAAAAAAAATGAAAGTGGAATTATCATCAATTGAAACAATTTCAGTTCAATACTAAAAAGTTGTGTTTTCATTGCAGTTTTGGTTTAGACTGCACTGGCCAATATAAGAGCACTCAAAGCTGTCTGACATTTTCCCGTGCAAAACACACATGGATAAGTATGTGTATAGCCTACACATCACTTCCTGTGATGTCATATAAGGACATGCCCCTTACATCTGGTTGAGGTGCAAATCAGTTTCTGCTTCCTCTCGACTCATTTTCGATGTTACTTTTTCCGGTTGACTGCACTTTTGGATCAGCCATATTTTTTCTGAAACTCAGATCAACTTTTAGACTTAAAACTACATTTTTCCTCAATCGTGGGCCATTATTTTTTTTTTGGAAGCAAAATTTTACATAATCAACCTCTTTTTTTAAGCGATGACGTATTGTGTGACGTCATCGCTTTATGCTGGCATGCATGCATTCCTTTGGAGAGTGATTTTGTATAGTTTGTCCTGCTTATGTCCATGTGCTTATGTCGCGCATGATTTATCCACCTGAGGAAGCGAAATGCACTCTGGGAGTTCCTTTGCTGCTTTCCTTTGCTGTTTGTAGGTTCAGCGGAGTGCTTTTAATTGTAGCTTTTAAAAGAAGATTTAGGGGTGGATTTTGGTTTAAACAGTATCGGATAGATTTGCGTTCATGGGCAAACTCATAATAAGAACATATCCTCCATACATACAAGTTTAGATAGACAAGTAAGTCGCACAGGCAATAGGTTGAGGCTTTGCGGCCTTCCTTTGCTGTTTGTAGGATCAGCAGACTGCTTTTAATCGATATGACAAGTATACAGTTAAAACAACAAATTAATTTCCAGTGAGGTAATTAGTGCTGCCAAATATTTTTAAAGATAATAAGGTGTCGATTTCAGAGAGAGTAACATTCCTTTGCGGCTTTCCTTTGCTGTTTGTAGGATCAGCGGAGTGCTTTTAATTTCAGCTTTTAAACAAAGATTTGGGGGTTGATTTTGGTTTATACAGTGTTGGATAAATTTGCGCTCACTGGCAAACTCGTAATAAGAACATATTGTCCATACATACAAATTTAGATAGACAAGCAAGTCGCACACGCGATAGCTGAAGGGTCTACATAAAATTTACGCATTGGTAGCGCAGTTGTACTTTTGCCAGTCTTGAAGTGAATTGAATGAGTATTATATGAGCACTGAAATATACAGTTTACAGTAGTGATAATGAAGTCAGGGTACAATTCATTTGCAGTTTTCAGTTTTTTTATGAAGTTTTGGAAATGTGCTGTTTTATATTTTCTGTCAACAAAAGAGTGGTTGTGATTAAACAATCGAAAAATTAATCATTTTGTCGAGGTAAAGACAATATGAATGTTCATTGATGAAAAGTATACGGTTACTAACAAATTAATTTTCTGTGAGGTATTTAGCGTTGCCAAATATCTTTAAAGATAATAAGGTGTCGATTTCAGAGAGAGAAACTTGTGCTTGGCTTTCCTTTGCTGTTTGTAGGATCAGTGGAGTGCTTTTAATCTCAGCTTTTAAATGAAGATTTGGGAGTGGATTTTGGTTTATACAGTGTCGGATGAATTTGTGCTCACAGGCAAACTGATAATAACGTATCTTCGATACATGCAATTTTAGATAGACAAGCAGGTTGCACATGCAATATGACAAGTCAAGAGAAAATGATTTTTTCTTGGACAAGTATATGGTTAAAACAAGAAATTAATTTCCAGTGAGGTAATTAGCTTTGTCCGATGACTGACTGTTATTTGCAGGCTTGACAGTGATATGTTTTTGATAAGCATTAATTTTGTTTTAATAATTGCCAAAGGTACATTACTTTCAAAAATTTTGGACGTTTAATTTTGGGACACTTTGCTAGGACATAGCTTAGTTAAATTTTTGCCTACAAAACTTGAGTCAGACTGGAAAATTTATGGAATTGACCTGCATTACATGTATGTTCTCATAAAAGAAAAAAAATTTCCATTCAGGTGATAAAAAGAACAAGCAAATCCTAATTCAAGTTCTTGCTTCATCATGCATGTGATGGCGCTGTCCAAGAAGAAAGTAAAAACTACGTACTTTATAATGTAGTTGTACTGTAAATATTTTGGATGCTTAAAATTTTAGGCACTTACAAATTTCAGATGGTTATTATTTTGGACATTTTTTTGTCCGAAATTAACGTTGTCCGAAACTGTTTGCAAGTAATGTATATGCAAACTATTTGAATTTTATGTTGTCATAATAAGGAGAGTAATGAGCAGAGAAGAGTCTTCATTCATTGAGATGTCCCCAAGTTCAGAGTATTTTAAGTTGCTCATTTCAAGCGTATTTATTCCTGGGTCAATATTACTCCTTGGAATGAATCAGAATTTCTTTCCTCTGGCTTCAGAGTTAATGTCTGGTTCAGAATCATTTATCCCAACAAGGACCAACATTGCCTGTCTTAAGGCTAACATTCTTCTGCAAAAACACTGATTGATTGCTCAAGGAATTAGTTTGTTTTGGTGGGGTGTAAATGTTTGGGTAATCCTTTAGGAGGTTGCAAAATTCTTAAGACTCTGAAACAAAATTTAAAGAGAAAAGAATTATTTGCACATTGTTTTTATGTAAGTTTAGCAAAAGTCATGTACAAAATACTTACTAGTTACATACTGGATTTGCAGGCAAGTTGTTAGAGTCATAGATCACAGGATTAAGGACTGCGGACCCAGGACTGGGGACCCAGGCCAGAGGACTCTTACAGAGGACCCAGAACCAAGGACCCACGACAGAGGACCCAGGACAGAGGACCCAGGACAGAGAACTCAGAACAGAGGACCAAAGACTCAGAACAGAGTATCAAGGAGCAAGGATAGGACTGAGGACTGACAACTGGGGATCAAGAACAGTGGATGAAAGCAAGCCTTGAATGATGAACTTTCATAAGTTGAATTATAGATATATTAAGGTATATGAGATATTACCGGTAGCAGAGATGGCACAGTGCACCTTGCCCAGAGGGTTTTTCTCTGGGTACTCCGGTTTCCCTCGTTCTTGAAAAACCAATATTTCCAAATTCCAATTGAACAAAATTTCCCTCACTCTTGAAAAACCAATATTTCCAAATTCCAATTGAACAAAATTGGCGACATATTGCTTTGGGCCAACTGAGATGAAAAATTATTTGATTACTCAAGGTAAACATTTGTAATACCAATTTATTACTCTCTGTTCATTTCCTAGTTACATGTGCACATGTGGTTTTGCAGTCTCCTTGCAGCTGTTATTTTAGTTAATGAGCAAATTGGGAAGAAGCTTTACTTTTTTTCTGTCTTTTTTAAAGATCTCTTTTTTTAACCATAGGTAAAGGGAAATTCCCAAGTCAATCAATCGATCAATCAATCGATCAATCAATCAATGAAAAAATCACTCAGTAACTCAATGGTTAAGATAAAATGCCCAGGATATGCAGCTAACTAAAATAGCAATTACCAACCTTTAAATTTATCTAGTTGCAATTTAAAGATCTTTAACATTGTATTCCAATACCACTTTGATGCACATGTAACTAGTTCCCATGTAAACAGAGTATTGAACTGACCAGTGTGTTGTGTGGGTGTCATTCATTTGCAAATAAGTGGCTTGCTTGTTACATTTTCCACACAATTCATTATATCAGAGCCGGAAATTATGCCAATAGCAATCATCACTTAAAAATTAACTGAAACTCAATTATGGTTAAATCTGTTTCTGTGAATTAAAAGTTTGGTAATTCTTGTTGTATTTTCATGCGTACAGACATAAAACAAAAAAAGAGGCGACATTTTGTTCCAAATTATCTTAAAAAGTAAATTTTCGCAATTATTATTGTCAAATTCAGAAATGGACAATAAAATTTCAAAACCCATGTAGAAATAAACCAAAATATGTTATTCTTTATCCAAGAAAAGAAACCTAAACTGAACACTCAGTCTGACTCAATCAAAGTTAAACTATTTAGTTCTTAATTAACACTCTCTACATTCCACATTGTAGTGTTTTTAATCAGATGCAACAAGACTTTGACACGCATTCTTAGTATTTAAAGAACTCATAAGAATAGGACTTTTAGTTTTAGGAATTTGAAAATGATGAATGAGTCATCAAAAGGTCTATCAAAATTATTATTGCTAATTGTTATTCTTAATTGTTTGTCCAAAGCCTCTGTTACTAGAAAATACAGTCAAAACTTATTAACCATTTTATTTATTTTGTACACGTGTACAGACATTTTGGGTGCTAATTAAAAATTCTCATTTTTTAATTCTAAGATGCTCTTAAATTTAAAGCTAAAAATATTCCTGTTGAGTTCTAACAACAATTTATTTCAGTTCCTAAAAAGAAATTGAAGTTACACTTTTTTGATATATGTACAGGCATTTTGGTGTACCACCAAAGAAGTCAGACAGCAGGATACGGTAAATTTGATTTTACAGAAGCCACTTATTTGCTCATGAAAACCTAGTTTCTCCTTCTCACAAGATTCCTATTGAGCAGCTTTATGGAGAAATCTGTTCACTTCCATTGGTTTTCCTCGGAAATCTTAAATTGAGCTTGGAGTTGAAAAACAATATCTTTTGCCAACATCAGCATAAGAAACCTTTTAAGGTTCTCTTCATTTTTATGTCTGATTTTGAAAAAAATATACATGTACGTTGTAGTTGAAATACCATTGCCAGAATGCTAAGCTATTTGCTTTTCTTGAGAAAATTGTTCCCTGTATTTACTTAAAAAATAAAATACATTTTTTTAATCCAAATAAACTTGTTTTGGGGAAGTAGCTGCTCAATAGGAAACTTGTGTTCAAGAAAATATTTTACCTGTATTTTTTGTAGTTTCAACGTGCATCATGCTCTAAAATCGTTGGCTAATTCAGTTCTCACTGATCACAATTATTTTCTTTGGGTGAGCAACATTTTCATTTTTGTCACTGAGGTTTTTTTGCTGAGATCAATAGCATGATGGTGCTTGAAACTATGATATTGTTATTTTATAACCTTTGAACAAAGGAAGCTTCCTAAAACTACCCTTTTGTGGTAATGCAAGTAAATTCGATTGGCTGATCAAGAACTTATTAATTGAATGCAATACCAATCTGCTGCTTTTCACAAATTTATTCAATTTACTGAGTGTTATACGAAATTATTATTTATTACTTGATCAGTATTGCAAAAAATTCTGAGCTATGTTTTTCTAAAATAATGCATTTAAAGTGTATTCAATTGTAGAACTAAGAAATTATGAAATCAATGCCATACCAATCTGTAGGATTTCACAAATTTATATAACTAACATGCATTTATTGTCACACGAAATTGTTTTTTTCTTTCTCGATCAGTTTTAAAAAAAACGAATTCTTTTTTCTAAAATAATTTCTTTGCCTCCTTTGTTTAAAGTTTCCACAGCAAGCTCATTAGCACAGAAGTACAAAATTACTTATAAACTCAGCTAAGCAAACACTACAAATTTTGGTGTCATAAGGTCTTCACATTAGCATTGACACTAACGTGTTAAAGAGAGGCCAAACGTGGGGATAGTCAGGAGAACAGGGGTGTAGGACAGACCCTTCAGATATAGTGGGCGTTCCTAGTCAGCGATAATATTGGCATCATAGTACATGTATAATAGAGAGATCATTAACCCTTATGGTTATTTTCGTTAGGGTTTCGATGCAGTAGTTTTCAGTAGTTCAAAACCACTAAGGGAATCGGGCATTTTAATCCTAATTTCCTCCAAAAAGTGTTAACGAAGGCAGATTGAGTATGTCTAAGTATTATTACTACTCAAGTATCAATTCAATAGCAGAACTAGTTAGTTACGGTATAAGTTTTTTTTTAACTGAAGTGTATAGTCTTTTTTTTGCTGTGCTAATGAGCTTGTTAGTTTTTTTCTTTGTGGATTTGATATTTTCTACTGAGCCTAGTATATTTTAGATTATTTTCAGGAACTGAGATGGCCCATACACCCGCACACAACACAAATGGTCAGATATAAATCTAGCCGATCGATGTCCCTGCAGGGTTGTGGAAACTCTTGCTCTGAGGACGGTGTTTCTGACGTTTCTCTGCAATATTCCAACTGAGAAATCTTGGTGAGTTTATATGTTCCGCTCATTTTTGATGGAGGCACTAGGACACTTTGATGGTGTGGTCGTTTGCTCTCAAGTGGAGAAGGCATTATGGGGGAAGGTGAGGGTTGGCTTTTCATGTCTTTTTGGCTTTACTTGACTACGTCAGAAAACCACAACTTTGTTCCAATTGGCTTGAAAGATGTTTGTTTTCAATCAGTGTTTCTAGAATTTTTCTGTTGTTGAGGGCGTAAAACAGTAGTGCATTAGTACAGGTCACGGGTAGTACATTTCCAGGATGTTGGGGTTAGTTTTGAACAATGAAGGTCACTGATCTGGCTTGACTGGAATTTCACAAGCGACACTAGATTGAGCTGATAGTCATCTAGGATTCTCCTGAAAGAGCTAATTCTCGTTTAGGGCTTTTCTTAATTAGAAATAATAATTTTCTTTTCGTTTAAATTCTGAAGATAATAACAAATTAGGTATCGAATGAAAATAAATTAGTCACAATTATCTTAAGAACAGAATTTCCTAACACTATCAGTCCACAGTTCAAAGGAAAATGAAGAACATTAGCCGCTTAAAATATAAATTAAAATTATCTGGAATTACAACTTTGGCTTTTTTTTCTGATTAACTCCAAGAATTAGTTAACCTAAAAGAACCTAAAAGCAGTCTCCTGCGCTGGCGTTACTTGAGTTGTCACGCAACACTTCTTCCCGGAGTGCTGCGTAATGATACAAATAACGCCTATGAAGGAGGCTTCTTTTTGGAAAATTTTGATCTTAGCTACTAAACATATAGTTACATTTTCCGTTATGAAAGTTCAAAGCGTAGGTCAATTGTTCATTTTGACTTCCAAAACGTTTAGCTAACCTCGTAAACTTTTTTTGTAACCAAACATATCCATAGTTTGATATGAATTTTGTACGCCTATTGTTTATCTTGCCTCCTTTAACTTAGTTAATCTTAAAGTTGGTCTTTTTTTTTCGCTTAACTTTGGCCAATTGCTCATTTTGATTTCCAAAATCTGAGATTTACCGCGGAAACTTTATTTTTTGACTAAGTACATAACTTTAAGCCAATTATCAATATTGCATTCCAAAACTATAAATTCAACTTCTAGAACCAAGCATATATTTTGTTTTTTTTTTTCTTTTTTAAATTCGAAGGCCAGTTGTTCATCTTTACGTCTTAAACAAACTAAAGAAACTAAACCTAGGAAACGTTTCTCATCGTTTTTTTTGCTAATACTTGCTCAACTTCGTTGTTATCCTCGGGGATGCAGCGGCAGTTAATCGTGACGAGACGAAGTAATCCGAACGTCGGGTCGATTTTGCCGCTCGGTTTACGTCGACTCTTCCGACTATCTGCCCTGAGCTTCCGAGGATCCTTCGTTGTTTAATGTTATTCAAAGTCAAGATTAACAATAACAAAGGCACAAATTAATTTGAAAATTCCATCGTGTTTGCCTTTTTTTAAAGACGATTTTAACTGTGAATATTTAATAACATTTACTCTACGGAAATATATAAACTACGATTCTTTCGAAAAATATTTGGATTTTTTTGTACAAATTAGACTCGATCGATTTTAAATAACTGAAACTAAATATCAAAACAAGGTTAACGCAATTCTAGGTGATGTGAACGGACGAAAATCGCCCGTTTCCTTTCGCTTTAGTATTTATTTACTTTAGCAAAATACGCTTAAACCTGAAAACAAATTACTAATCTTTCACCGCGTCAACTTTGATCTTATTTAAACATAAGCGAAAGTTCCTAAACTTGTAT